ATGCATACAGGTCAATTTTTTCAAGTCAAGAAACTAAGTTAGTACGCAGTAGCACACAAAAATCTCTAACTGGTGTGCCTGGTTGCATTGGACCCTTGCAAGTTAAGTTGTATGTGTGCGATGCGTACAATACAGTAGCTTAATGTCTTGAGTCAGGTAGGGCATCGAGCCCGAACCGGACATCGAGGGCGGGTGATGGTTCTAGAGGACCTAGGAATACTAGTCAGTTCTTCAAACCAGAGGGAATTATTGCGGGAGAGAGGACTCAAGTTAAACAAGGAAGCGAAATGTGTTGGTGGTCTACTCGCCATGTGTCATTGACTTGGACACTGGCGAAATATGACGGTGAAATTGCCGTGTTAATCCATTTGATTGTTGTACATCTGCGGTCATCGGCCGGAGCCTGGTAATGAGAGATAGTAGCAAGATGAAAATGGGATAAAAACGAAAGCTCCAGGTAATGGTAGGGAACTAAGCCTGTGTCGTATTCCGGTGCGGGTAGAACTTAGGAGAGACGGGAAGATTGGCATTGTCGTATGATTGTGGAGATGTGTACAGATTTGCTCGTTTCTTTTTATTCACCTCTCGGGTTCCTGACGGGCACGAGCATAAACGCTGCAGCAGATGTTCAGCTGCTGTGGAAAATGATCTACGTCTGCTTGTCTTGGGTGACCTGGTTATTTCGTGCATGATCATAAAGAAGGGATGGATGAAGGTTTATTGCTTTTTGGTCAAACAGAGGGAGAAACATGGGGACGAATATGCAGGGCGGTTGATGTCAGAACGGTTGAAACGACGTTGCGAAAGGCAATAACCTCTCCAATAGACGGGACAGATGAAGGGTTATCAAGAAGGGAGTCTACTTTCTACCCTATGGCACCATTGTTGTATTGATCTTGAAGCTGAAGGGTTGTAGAGAGGGATGCATTATTCAATAGTATTATCTCCAATGCGGAGTATGATATCTCTTGACAAACACACATGTAAAATTAAAAGTTTGTCAGAAAGGAAAGAAATAAAACGCATGTCATCTCGTGCCGTGTCATGGAAATGTCCTGATGCTTCTGGGCAAGAAGAGTGTGTGCTGAGACAAAGATCGAGGCTGCCCAGGATGTCTCAAGTGCCATCGTCCAACTGGACACCCACCAACGCTTGGTCGATTCCGTACAGTGCACTGCTTTAGCGAGGATTTACATGCAGAACATATACCTCATCTGCAAAGAAACATGTATCATGTGCGAGATACATGGGTCTTTCGTTCCTTCTCTGCCAGTAGTCAGACACCCGTTATAAAAATCCATCGTGACTACCCGGAAGCAGCGATCAGTATTTGCGTTGCCAGAGGCACATACGTGCACCTACCTGCCCCTGCAACACCCTTGTCCTGTCCATGTCCGATTGATTCCCAACACCTGGAGACGGAGTGCTCGGGGGGGTTCTATGTGGGCTTTCTAAGCCCAAAATACTTCGTCAAAGAACATTTGTCCTGGGTATTGGCGATCAGGTGGTGCACGGGGTCCTTGACCCTTACCGGTGATACAGTACGACAGGCAACAAAGTACAGTCACTTGGTACCTGCTAATAGGCAAGTTAACTTTACCGCTGCCGCTAAAACGGGCGCGAACCGACTCCAAACTCACGGGAGGGTCCACGTTGCTGGGCGTCTGCACTGTATCTGCACCCTGAGACAGGCCCGGAGGGTACTTGACGCCTGCTGGTGGCTCCTTCCTCTGGGTGCGCGGCTTCACCAAATGACCCCAATGGTAGGTGGGACCTGGGACCCTCCTTCTCTGACCCCGGTCCAAGGTCCTTCTCGTCCACTTCCACACCACACCTCATCCAGATCCATATTAGGCCACTGCGTCCCCTGCCCCTTCCCATCCCATTCCAATGCCACTTGCCTGACCAACCCCCCGTTCATTCCAATTCCCACCACAACCACCGCATTTCCTGCTCTTCACTCCGACAACAGACTCAGTTTCTCCCTACAACAACATCAACACAAACACAAACAGACAAGCACCAGATCTTTTGCATTCTTGCTATTTTTAATAGTCGCATCGCAACCTCTTCATCTCTCATCGACTCGATCCTCACCTTCCCATCTCGCGCGCGCACTTACAAGCATCGTCGAGAAACTGCCCGCTATACCTTTGCGCCTGGCCGCGTCGTCTATCCCAGTCGCAATCGCACCACACGCCAACCACCGCTTCGCCCTTTGCACAAACAACAGTCGCCGCGATCACATTTCGCATCTTATCATTTAAAACCAAAGAATCGAAACTCGCTACCATGCTTCTCCCATCCGCGCTGCCTTGCGATGCGTCGCACTCAACTCACTCTCGACTGCAACCTTCTCTTTTCTCTCCTCCTGCCAGCCCCCCGGCTTTCTCATCGCACGCATCCTTTTCCAATATCATGACCACCTGTCGCTCACTCCAATCACTACTATCAACTCCTGCGCCCATTACCACCAATGCTCGCCCGACTCCTTCGCTCGCTCAGTTACCAACTCCACCACTCGCCCATGCAGCTCCTCCTCTGAAGCTGCGCCTCCGTCCACGCCCACAACCCCGCGAGCCAGTCGGTCCTAAGAAGGTTACCAAGCGTGCGGCACCGCGTGCTATTAACAAGAGGCGCCGTGCTACCGACGAGGAGGCGGAACGGTATTCATCAGCAAGCGAGTCTGGCAGCGAGTCAGCATCGCGCCGCTCAATCAAGCAAGTCGCGCCCTCAACGCCAAAGCGCACACGCATTGCTCCCGAGCAGCTGCCTCTCGGCCTCGACCGTTCCGACTTCCACAACATGCATCTTCGACAAGGTGGTCATCTTCTTGGAGAGGAAGATTCCTCCGACGAAGAGGACTGGAGCGCCGAGGACGATCGTGTCCTTATTGAAATTGTACTAGAGAAGCTTAGGTTGTCAAAGGCAGAATGGCAAGATTGCGCACGAAATCTCGGCCGCGATCGCCATGCTGTCGACCGCCGCTGGAAGACGCTATTGCTCAATGGTGACATCGGTCTCAAGTCGCGACCAGGTCATTGAAGCGACATCAATCGGATCTAGCAGAATCTTCACTCGTACATCATTTATACATTTGATCTTTAGCGCAAGTCTCGGCCGAACAGCATCGGTAGCGAGCACAAAGAAAAGAGGCCTACAGGACATAACATGGGCAATGGGCTGCCCTTGGAGTTAGATATTTTCTTTCACGTTTTGTAATGATATCCCCACGCGTAAATTGCGTGCGTCTATTAAGTTTCACATTTGCTTTTTTGGACCAAGGATTGGAACTTGGCACTATAGATATCAAGAATCTACAATGGAACGTCAAAAGTTCCACATTTCACCTAATCTTGCCTTCTGGTGTCCCCTGTGCATCCTCGCTACTCTTGATCACACTGAATTTGACCACAAGGTTCTTGGACACCCCTCAGGGAGCAAGAAAACTTCTGACCTTTAGATATGGTACCAAAAATAAATAGTCCAAGGTCTACCAAATCTATACTGACTTTACCTAAGTCTTTTTGTCATTTAGGATAGAGGTACTAAGTTTTCTTGCCTCACCTAGACACCATCACGGTCTCCATCAGGGTTCAATATTGCGTCCGCCAGCCTCCACATATTGTTCCAATACTATCGTTGTGGCTGGATTATGAAGAAATCTTATCAAAAAATTACAGGTCCAAATGAATTGTACGAGATCGATGTTCAGGTACTGGGGAACGGGCAAGCTGGGCCAGCTCATTAAGAATATCTGTTCAGCTCATTCTGCACCCGCATGTTTGTCCCTCCATGGTACATCGTGCGTCGCCTATCGCCCATCCCGCATTCCTCATGGACTAGGCGCACGGTCTCTCCGGAAATCACGAACAGACCATCGAATCGGGCATCAATATACATGAAATTTGGTACTTGTCCCAATTTCCATCATCGTAAGTCCGTTTGTACGTTTCACACCAAGAAGTAAGAGTTAAATTCCGCGCTTGGACTGTATTGTCGAGTCAGACAGTTTGGTGGCATGGGAAAGACATACACGCCAGGAAGATAACCAGCAGACGGGTTGATTGAAAACACTGATGACGGGCTTGGAAGGATTTCCATAAATCATCACAAAAACTCATAGCTTGTGATAATTAATTTACACCTTAGTCGGAGTCTCTCCATTTCCTCTAACAAACGTACGTATATAAGTAGTCATCACGAGGTGGAGTGTGTGGATTTTATTGCACATTAGGTAGGTGACTTCAGGGTCTGTTCATTCTCGCCTTCCATCCGTCTTCCGTTGTTCGATCTCTCGCCTTTAGCGTGCGCCTGGACCCGGGGAAGGGACGGGCGGCGACGGGCGGCGACGGGCCGGGACGGGGGGTTGCAACTGTTGCTGGGTAACGCCATAAGTATTGTTTATTGTTGATATGGAATGGAAATTAGATATTCTCCTTTTATGAGAGTTTGTTTAATGAAATCAAGTTAATCAATCTATCTAATGCAAAGATAGTGCAGTTTCATGTGACATGAATTTCATTTAATCTCCTGGAGCATCCGTTATGCTCTGATGTTTTCTATCTATGGTCTTATGAGTAATCATGGCGATACCTTAGCATACCATGAGCTCTAAATTCTGTAGCAATCCGTCTTATACACCCCTTGCTTCCTGCCATGCCATTAATTTCGTAAAATTATTATGAGTAAACCGTACAACCCTCTATAGATAGCGCTGAAAAAAAAAACCCCGCTGTTCCTCGAGACACGATACCGCCACCAACGGGGGTTACGACGCTCGGAGGAAAACAGGGCATGAACCGTTCAAGCAAATCGTAAAACGCAATGTAAAGCCAACGAGGTTGATACACAAGCCGCTCTGCTATGCAGCGCAGAGAATGAAGTTCTTACCATGAGGATAGATCGTTGAGGAAAAAAAAAAAAAGTGACACAATATGTGAATGTGTAGGTAAAGGCGTGGGGTCTTGGACAATTGCTCAGGAGAACATTCCTCCTTCCTAAGGAGGCGTCATTTGTTCCTCCATGAGCATCTTGCGGACCTCTGTCTCGAGGGTCTGCTCTGTCACACCGGGATCTTCGTCAGTTACAGCACCAGTGACCTTGTTTGCAAGCTCGATTTTTTTCTGACAAGCTTTGTAGATGAGCTCCTCTATAGTATTGGAAGCGATAAGTCGAATGATTTCGACGTCACGTTTCTGACCAAGACGATGAGCTCTGTTCTCGGCCTGGATGTCATCTTGAGGGTTATCCGATTGGTCAAAGATGATGACCTTGTTGGCAGCCGTAAGGTTGATACCTGTGCCACCTGCTCCGGTTGTGAGTAAGAACACTGGAATATCAGGGTCATCATTGAACTCGTCAATCAGCGTCTGTCTCTCCACAACATTGGTGCTCCCCATCAAGACTCGATGCTGAATATTCAGCTGAGCGAGCACTTCCTGCAGCAGCTCAATGACACGAGAAAATTTGCTGAACACAAGGACTCGGTCACCGTTCTCCTGATACTGGTTGATGAGCTCAAGGAGTTTCTTCACCTTTCCGCTGTCCATCTCGGTCTCCGGAGGGATGTCGAACTTTCCGAGAAGGCCTGGGTAGTCACGACACCAGAGGTGAAGTCCAAAATCTGAAGAGTCCTTGAGTTCTTGGATTAGATGCTTAATGTCGGGTTGACGGAGGTCATCCTGAGAGACACTATCCATAAGGATTCGAGCCATCTTCTCAACTTTCTTGTCATCAAAATGCCGCCTGAAAAGGAGCGGATGAAGTGCTGCCTTGCGAAGCTGCATCCAGCAATTGTTCTGGTCATTTCCACGGCCGCGGACTTTTGTGGCGCGCTTGGAAGGCTCAAGCTTGAACATCTCTTCGTACTCGGCATACACTTGTTTTTGGTTCTCGTCCATGTCGCAGCGGACGACATTGCAGATCTTGGGAGGCATATCTGACAAAACTTGGTCTTTTCGACGCTGAAGAATGAACGGTTCCAAGATTGTTCTGGCTCTCTTGACACGTTCACTGTACAGAAAAGCACCGTTTGAAACGTCCCTGATAGTGACCTTTTGGCTAAAGATGTACTGAATGTGTTGCATACAACCGTTGAAAATATTGGGGTTTATGAAGTTGAGGAGTGAAGTCATCTCCAACAAGTTGTTCTGAACAGGGGTTCCTAGACAGCGTTAGTAAAACCGCCCATTGAGAAGACTAAAAGCAACATACCTGTTAGGAGCATCTTCCATGATGCTGGAATACGGCGAAGATCTTTGTAAATCTTAGTCTCAGGGTTTTTCATCTTGTGGCCTTCGTCAAAAATGGCAGTGTGCAGTCGAATAGACTGCATAGCCTCAATGTCCGCGTCGTTGTTGATCTGAGAGTATGTTGCAAGCACGACGTGAAAGGCTTCGGGCTCATGTTCGATCTCATATGCGATCTCTGCTCGCTCTGCCTGGGAACCTCGGTATCCGATCACTGAAAGGCCTGGAGCAAACTTCTCAAATTCTCCAAGCCAGTTCTTGTAGGTACTTGGGGGAACGACAATGAGATTGGGCCAAGGCCGGGTTCGTTTTCCGTCTTTGCTTTCCTCGTACTCCTGAACAAGGTGGCACATGAGTGAAATGACTTGACAAGTCTTACCCAGTCCCATCTCATCGGCGAGGATACAGCCTATGTTAAACTTGTAGAGGAGGGACATCCAATTCAGGCCTACAAGCTGGAAAGGTTTCATTTGGCAATGCCCATCCATGTACTTGGGCTGATGGGCAATAGGCGGGCGCACGTATCTGGGCGCGCTGATGCTTGTAGGAGTTGGGGGGAGATCGTCTGAGTTTTGGCTTCGCTCTCGCTTACTATGCCCAAATGTATCGATATCCCAGGTATCAAGCTGCTGCTTGATATCTTTTGCATCGCGGTCACACTTGCCAACAACATTGTCGATCGCGGCAACTGCATCGATAAAAACTTCGACAGCCTCCACAACATTCTCTCCAATGCTGACTTTGGAAGCCTTTCGGGCGCCAGGCTTTTTACCGACGGTGACACGCCTAGCCTTCGAAATGTCATCAAATGGTCGCTTCTCGATCATACAAGCAAGTTGCTCTTCTTTCATGCCTGTCATAGCCGCTAGTTCTTGAACAGTGCTTGTGTTGAGACATGTCAGCACCCGGTCATCCTCATCGTCCAAAGGCTCTGGCGATGCCTCAGCCTGATACGTATCCTCCTTCCCATCGTCGACAAGGTCAATAATTAGTGGATCGTCGCTTGAGGCATGGGCCGGGGGGGAGGAAGGGAATGCTGGAGACGAAGGGATTGAGGGCTTTCGGAGACCTTGTACTAGTCGTCGTCGGGGTTTCTTCACAGGGCTGGGGGATGCCGTGCGAGACAGTGAGCGAGAGCCGGCCCGGCTAGCTGCTGCTGATGATTGGAGAGCCGCCTTGCTAACCAGACGTCTGCCAGGTTTAGGGATGGGAGCCGGCTGTTTGGGCTGACGCATTTGTCGTCCAAGATAATTCAGTGCTTCTGTGAGATCATTTTTGCACGCACTCAAAGCTTCCTTGGCCTTGTGCGAGGGCACTCTATCTCCGTAAACATCATAAATCTGCCGGAGTTTATTCTTGATGACCCTTTCCGAGCTTTCTGATTCGGGATTGTATGCGAATGCCGAAATCTGTGCCTTAAACGTTGTCGGTCGAATATCGCCACGGGGAGGTGTGAGGTCGTCCTCATCGTCGGAGATGAGATTAATAGGCTCAACGGCTGGTCGCTTGTTGGTCATCGCAGGAGGAGGTCGCTGTGGAGGGCGGAAAAAGGTGCCGGCAGGGGCAAGTCTATTACCAAGAGGTGTATGCTTCTTAGGTTGTTGAAAGGGCGAGGACGCAGGAACTTCAATAATACTGCTTGCAGGAGAAGAGCTTCGCATGGGAGCAAGTCCAGGATTCTGAAGGACTTGCGTTGGCTGTGTTGTTGTAGTATCTCGGTCTCGAAAAAAGGCAGATGGAGAGCAGGGAATTGTATCCGTTATTTCATCGGCATCGTCAATGGTTATTGTATTGCGAGCGAGCGATGGGGTGCGAGGTAGAGCGTTTGAATGCCGGATTGGCAAGGGTGAAGAGCTTCGTGCCATTGTGATTGTAGGTGAGAATTATTATGGGCATACGAAACAATAGGAGTAAGAATCAAGGCTAGCAGTGCTTTGGATCGTCCAGGGCGGGGGCAGTCACTGCAAATGAACGGATTGAGCGTTTGGTCTGTTCTTCTCTGTCCTTCTTATCGTTCGGCCAACAGAAAACGGAGCACTGGATGAAAGTGGCAGACAGGTGTCATTAAGGAGAATGCTTAATAGAAAAGGAGAAGAAATTAAGAAAACGCGGTTTAAAGTCTGAGAGTGAGAGATGGTGGTGCTTGTCAGTGTCAAGGGGATCCCAATCCAAATCCTGGAGGGGCGTGAAGTGAGCGAGTGAAGGTGGAGATTTTTGTGAAGTGCCCTCAAATCTTTAACGCGACCCGCATAAACTGCATCACGAAGTCACGTGAGACTCTAGCTTCGCGTCAGTATTAGATACATACGATGAAAGGAAGATCGTAAGCACTCAATTGAATCAATCAGGGAAGGAAAACAAGATAATCTGATCGCATTGGTAGTTGCATGGGTCCTGGCTTTCTTTATCATTCTTCACTCCATTATGGGAACAAAGAATTCACGTTTTCTATCCGATTGCGCGTGTTGATCATCTAGTGCTAAGTGCTTCTTATCCTCAAGCTTGGTTGCACGTGCAAGTGGGACCCAACTCCAGCCTTCGTAGCTCAACTGGGTATCCTCATCAACTCGACTACAATTACCATACAAGAAGATACTGAGCTTCACCCACCTCTTGTACAGTTCAAAATGGCTACTCGACGCATTGTTGCTACTGAAAAGACCTTCCTTGATAAGGATGATCCCATTGATGAAAACTCTAGTACTGCTCCTGCTGTTCCTAGGTAAGTTTCCTATCTATCTACCTTATTCAAACTGCCATGATTGCCACCTATCTTATCTTATACACTACATCGCATCGAACCAAACTGACATTATTTGACAGCCAAGTCATCTATAAGCTTCTAGCATTCACCTTTGCCATGATTGTGGTCCCCATCGGTTCCTATTTCCTCAGTGTCAATGCCATCTTTAGTGGTACATCTCTTCACCCCTACGTGTCATCATCGAGACTAAGAACAAACAGGAAACTCTTCTCTTGCTGGTGGCTTGGCTGCTGTCTTGGCCAATGTCGTCCTTGTGGGATACATTATTGTAGCTATGAAAGAGGACCAGTCGGACAAACAAAAGCCAGAGAGCAAGAAGGACAAGTAGACACACATCTGACATCACGGTCGCTATATCAAGTTAATTCACTCTTCAATAACTTTCTATCCGGCACAAGAATAGCCTCAGGGGCATCCGTCTCAATTATTTTCTCACGTCACCTTCATGACCTTGCCTCGCCAACTTGGGCGGACCATCATGTCTGGTGACCTCTACAGCCACGTGTATATGCTATGTACGTCTCGGGTGTGAGTATAATTAATGATGATCGTGGTGGTAGATCCATCTTCTGCTCTGCTTCTCCAGGATATCCTCAAAGTGTTGGCCACACAAAGCCTAACCTGCCAACGCCTCGTACAGTTTCGTTTGCTAATGTACTATTCCGTAATAAAACTCAAATGCTTCGCCTTAGTCCATGGGGGGGAAATAAACCGTATCGTCACAACTGTAAACCAATTTGACCCAAGTGAAACAGTACCTGCCGCTCTGCCCTAGAAGTGAGACGAAGCACAAGGTGTGGCAGCATACTCTGGGGGTCCATCGCAAAATCTGTCGGATGGAACAGGCGCTGTCAAGTACTGTTCGATTGTGCCATTCGACGTTGAATATCAAAGAAAACGGGTATCGACAAATGAAAGTAGTTGCATAATAAGGTTTGTTTCGTGTGCGTTTCAAACGTTGATAGTCATTACTGAACCGTTGGCTTTTCAAGAGTTTTTACTGAACCTACGAGAAAACCAACTCTTGCGCTTGTCCCCGCTGGTTGCTTGCTGAGGTTGCTGTGTTGACTGTTGCGTTGATGTCCTCCTCAAAAGGGTATTCTTCTGTTTCTGAGGTGGAATTGGGGCCTGCGCCTGCGTGGTAGGAGGTTGTGAATGAGAAGGTGGTGGTACTTGAGGTTGCCCTTCATTGTTCACACCAGAACCAGATGCTGGCCAAGGGCGTGACTGGTATGGTTGTTGAGGCTGATATGAGCCGGACGCATACTCATTGAATGGTTCGCGGCGCTTAGCCGGCATCGTCCGATCGATTGAGCTGTTGTCGCTGCTCGTAGGGTCTGTCTGATAGCCTGCATGATCTGAGTTGCCACTACCCGCAGCAGAAGTCACCGTCTCGTATGATCGGTCCTTGTGGGGGAGAGGATAGATATTCTGATCGTGGCCGTTCTGGTACTGTGGCTCAGACTGCATTCTAGACATCCGTTGCCGAGATGGACCAGTGCCAAAGCCATTGCTATAAGCTTGCCCATCAAAGTAGTTGCTTCGGGTAGACCCATTCTCAAATTGATTCTCCGGTTTGAAGGAAACGGGGCGATTGTTGTAGTAATTGTCGCGAGGGAAGCGAGGCTGGCTGTTGTAAGAACTATTCCGCCTATTCCAGTTGGCCTGTGAATCCGTTTCTGTGCAGTGTCAGTAAGTTGACCGTATCTGATGCTCGACATCCAACTTACCCGCTCGGTAGAGAGACTTGCGTGAGTAACCACCGTCGATTGCAGCCTCGAAACTACGGATAGTGTCTAATGGGCGCTCCCATCTGTTTCGAGTCGGGTTCGATTTGTCGGGATCCGCTACATGAGTTGTCAGTGGTGTCATATTGTGCATGCAAGCAGAACTACGCACCGATAGAGTTTCCGAAGGCATCTTTATGTTGCATGGACCGCAGAGGAGCAAAACTCGACTCGGTCATCATGGCAGCGATGGCAGCTGTTGTAGTGTTAGTAAGTGATCTGAACTTCCTGCTGTAGACTCAGGAGATGTCATGACATACATGGCTCTGCTTCGCTTATAGCTAATGTGGGGTCCGCTTTGCTATGTAAACGCTTCGCTTCCTTCTCGGCGTGGGTTTCTTGCAAGTCCTTGCTGCCAGAGCTCTTATGCGACTTTTGAGAATGAAAGCTGAAGGTTCGGCTGTGGGCAGGCGGATTCTGCGAACCCTTGCGCGGCGAGACAGGGGCAGTCTGTTGATATTGCTGCTGCTGATAGTTCTGTTGCTGCTGATCCTGCGCCGGATAATTCGACGGCGGCGGTGGATATTGGCGATACTGTTCGGTGGAGGTCGCCATGGTCGCGGCGCTTGGGGGGGACGACTGCTTTATTAGACGTGGTGCTGGGCCGCAATGGATCTCAGGAAGGCCCTGGCTCTTGGCGATTAGAGTCTCAGTGTGATAAGGCGGGTGGAGAGTTGCAGGCAATCGACCGATGCGATGGGGATTGTGGATAAGAAACTGGAGATTGCAAGGAGCAACGCTATCGGGGAGAAAAGACCAAAACCAGACCAAACGGCTACTAGCAAGGAAGAGCAGGAATTGTCGTGGATCCTTGGATGGATATATTGGGAGTGGAGATTTATTAAGAGTCGCTGGTCTCCTGGTGTAGAGGCTGGTGACGAGAGGCTGGGGCTTTCGAGCAATAGTGTGGCCCGGTTGTGTCGGAGTTTGGGAGTACGTATCGTATCAGACAATGTCCCAGTAAATAGGAATGGGTGGGGTTGGCTCGTGGGCTGGCGCCTGCACTGCAAGAGAAGGCCAGGTACGACAGGATTTATAAAGAACGAGTGGCTAAGACAAGGCGATGGTATCGTACTCTGCACGCCAAAGTGAGGTGAGAGGTGAGATGTGTCGCCGGTGGCTGCGGGTGTCTAACTCCGTACGCGGGACGATGTAATCATTCGTTGGCGCTGTTGCCTTGGCCTAGATTGGTACTTTAATTGTGAACAACCAGACAATAGCGCAAGCGAACGATATGATGCAGAAAGAGGCACTGAGTTCTTGCCCTTGTCACCGGCCGTGAAACAGTCCAACAAATTTGACCGGGATGTGGGAAAGCGAATCTCTGTTTTCTTTATCAGGCTGTGTTCAAAGTGAGCTAAAGCGGCGCCGGGTGCGTTTTGATGCTAATGCCTGTGGCTGCGTGATAATGATGTGGGATCGGCGTGCTGGGGGCTGATCTTCGTAAAGTGACTGCCGCTTTTTTGGTCTGCTTGTTGTTTCTTTGGCAGTTCCTGAGTATGAGGCTTGTCCCCTTTCGTCTTTGATTGATCTTTTTTTATCACTTTGTTGGGGTATCAGTCGGAGGAGGGATCTTCGAACACGTCCAGTGCCTCGTAAGTGCTTGCGTTTGGCCTGAGCGATTACTCGTTTGGTTGTTTTTTTCCCCTTTGCTTTCTTGACGTCACTATTAATTAGAAATTTCTAGTGTCGGCTGGCGTCAAGTTCAGGGGAATTAAGCCGTGCCACGTTGAAACTGCTCGGAAGAATCGTCCGGAGTGGCTTGCTGCTGAGACTCTCAAAAGTGCTCGTTTTTGATGGACAGGGGTCCAGTCGATAGTGGGCCTCGCGTGTTGTCGAGTCACTAAAAAGGTGACGGAACGGAGTTGGAGACTTCTCAACGGCCGGGGGTAACGAAGGTCGTTATTTCAGCAAGCCTGGGGATTCGATTGGTTATCGAGTCAATATGGCGAAGCCAGACGCAGTTTGTTGGAAACCTGGGGATGGCCGGTGTGTAATAGTCGTAGGAGGAAGCGTTGGTTTATTAGCAGGATCCTGCTCGTTGATCGATTACTCGGGAATGCACAGGTGAGATGTCTAGGTTCTCGATAGGTTATTGAATAGCGATCCGCACCCCCCGTAGATGGGTTTGAATCGATGAAACGGAGAAACGATGATAGCTTCAGCGCAAAACCAGTAAACGAAAGACAAACAAAGGGCAGGTGGAGGAAGCGAGAGTGAGAATGCGAGATCTTTGCTTGAAGTGAGTGAGGGCGCTTTTTAGGAAGAATGATGGGGAACGACGTAGAGGCCAAGACGTTTTTTAAGTGAGGTGATATGCTTCTATTAAGGTCTGATAGTAGGGCACCTTCCCATCGGTCGGGATGGGATGTGTTCGTGTTTAAGTTGGTAGGAATCGGCTTCGTCGTAGCTTCCGTATTCGCCGACTCCATTATGAAAACCAACCAAAGGAACGATTTGGTGCTCAACACCACACCGATATTGGTATAGATGAACAATTCTTACACAGACTAGGGCCATTTGGAGGCGATTGCATACGCGTACAACTTCAACATTACAACATAGAGCCTCTACGACTGCCGAAACTGTTTGTATCAGATCTCAAGCAGCACCTTTGAAGACGAGAGCCTAGAGAGGCCAGCCCTAGGCCATACTCGGAGAGTATCGAGACACACCAGATCATCAGGTCATGACGCGTCGTTTCCCCTTCCTCCCCGGCTGCTGCAGTGACAGCCACGACATGTAGACGGGCTCTCTCTACAGTACATCTGCATCTGCATCTGTTGCTTGCCATTTACGAGGATACGGGAGCTTTGTGGCCCAATGAGGGAGAAAGATAGCTGCAGAGTTGCAACCGCCTGCACCAAAGTTCAGTACCTTGAATGCTGATTCGAGGCTAATAATTCAGTTACCACCCTGTGTAGCTGATGAATGTTGACTTTTATGGTTTTCACTGTAATCGTCGTAAGCCTAAGCTAAGCCAGTAAACTCAATGGCTCCTCCAATGGACGGCACCATCCCGTCAGATATCCCACTCTGTGCGGAGTACATATTCTAATGTTAGTAGTACATTATATTTGTAGAAGTTGGTCTCGACCGACTAAAGCCAAGAACCATGATGGGCATCCGAATGGTGCTATTGATGTCATGCCACGTCTTGACTTCTGAGGCTCCGTGTTTGTGCATGAATACCGGATCAGATGCATTTTTGTCTCACGCTGTGTGAGCTGAATTGAGCTGTAGCATGTGGTGCGAGCCAACGTGCAATGCACAACAACTAAGGGAAACACTAAGTACCTAGAGTTAGCAAAAGGTGGTCTGTCGACAGTACAGGCTCTTGAAAGGCAGGGGAGGCTGGGGAGCTGGATTAGGTTGAGAATGGAGCCCTCGCAACTAATCAGCGCCTGTTATAGGCCTCTCTCAGTAATTCCCAGGTCATCTTGACGTTGTCGATGGTTGTCTCGCCCCTGTTTTATCTCGTGTTAGTGGCTCCCACACACCATCTCTGGTGTTGTCTCTTCAACATAGATCCTTCATGACACGGTACGGTGCGGTACTGATACTTACTTATGTCGGGTGCAAGCTCAGCCACATTTAGGGTTCCTATTTCGAATCTCGATTGTTTCCTTCTGATCGGCCCTTTGTCCAACTCGGCTTGGACGCTGCACAAACGCCATTTTTGTGAAAAACTTGCTGTCAGTCTTTATGCAAGCTCCGGCGAATAAGGCACAAGATCCAAGCTCGTTTAGTTTCTTGGCTACGAAGATGACAGACCCTACCCTCCATGAGTTGTTGATACTGTAGATTTGCTGTCTGGTTGGTTTGTTCAGTCAGGCACTTACCGGACTCTTTAATCACTCCAACCCCCAGGATATGACACCCCAGTCGATAGATTTTGAGGGGGGCCTGGAGGCAAGTGCCTGGACTGCCTTTGTATGGCATTTAATCTCGTTGTCGAATTGCCCATCCTGTGACATGGAATTGGTGGTTCTACCAAATGGGACAAGTTTCAAGATATGGTCTGCAAAATAGCCACTAAAACAAAAAACCAAGTTGAGACGATCGATGTGAATTTTTAATCTAGGCTAAAATAGGGTGGCGGCTTCTCATAGGTTGTGGCTTATCGCGCTCGCAGGTCGCGGACAGATCTCAAGACCTGACGATAGTAGAGCTGATATTGGAACATAGACGCGATTCTATTCTGCTCTGCCCTATTTATCCCCCATCTCCTCCCAGTGAAACACACTTGCTATCAAGGAGGGTTGGGAATTGAACCTTGATTTTGTGTTCCGAGACATTTGCCGTTGAACACAATGCCTTAAACTCACAATACCTGTATTGGCCATACACAATTCCTATAGTTGGCCGGCTTTTCCGGCTGGGCTGCAACACAATGCATGATGCGCCGTTATCCATGCAGTCCAACCGATCCTTTTTGTTACTTGATGATACTGAGTTCTGGTTCCGGCTCCGGCTTTGCTTGGCTTGCCTCCGAACCCAGATAGCATAGCCCGAGTGACTGAAGCTGCAGTTATCATGCATCCGATTTTGACAAGGGAGCTTGCTAGCCAGCCCAACCACAACTACCCTTTTCGAGGTTGGAACGGCCAAAAAACGCCGTCCATGGACGAAGCAGTAGCGGTAGTTGTATGAATGGCAGTCTATGACCCCTCGACAGTCTCTATACACTCGGAATATTCTCCATCAACTATGGGTGCTTTCTATTCAGCCCTTCCCGTTTCAACGGCAACGGTTTCGTCCTGGCCACTTGATTCCCGAGGAAACCTTCATCCCGAGTTTATAATATGAGCAGTGTTGGGCTTAAACTTACACAGGTTAATCCGACCGCCGTCAATATCCTAGACGCCAATGGATGTTTAACTGGAAGGTAATTGGACCTCCCCTGAGGGATATCGCCGTGGCGAATGACTGGTCAATATTGATATCACAGCTATTGCATTTCGTATATGCATTATCTCAAGCTGTGAAACTGCTGGATCAGGCCCTTGATATTGATACTTGGGTTGACATTATGATAGCAAAATACTTTTTCTTTTCCCGAACATGGCATTCAAACCTCAATCATCTGAATGGTAAACCCTACTCACGATGATGTTGCCAAATGTCCGACTTCAAAATACTGGAATGAGACTTTAGAATGAGTTGAAATGTGAGTATACAGGTTTCGTAAGTCTGGTTCTCATTGGGACCTACGACTTCCCCTTGCAGTCTCTACGTCAAGACTGGTCGAACGGCTCTCCTTGTCCACAAGCGAGGTTCCCTATATGTTGCCGGATGATATGAATACTGGTCTTAAATATAAAATATTCAACTTGACATCGTTGACCAAGGACATCGTAGTTGTATTCGCCTCCTCCTAATATGACATGTCCAACGCTTCTCGAGTTTGACATGGAATTGGGGTTATCTATCAGTGGTGATATACCTCGCTTGAGCATGACCGATGCTGTGTGATAATGGTGAGTTGTGCCCCTTAGTTAATCTACAGTACATTGGCCGAGCCACACATGACGGGAGTATCTGGATCGTGGTCTCTGCTGGTTCAACCAGATACGCAATGTGGCCAGAATTGGTAGGTGGGTGGAAGCAACAGGCAGGTGGAATGCGTTCACAAAGCTATGGCATATTACGCGACAACATGGCAGCGTTTCACATTGCATAGAACACATAGAGGCAACCCGACGTAGGTATCCGAGTCTGTGTAGCCGTTAATGGGGGACGAGTTGAGCCATCAGAGGTTGTTGTGAAGTGTTGTTTCAAAAGCAATTTCCGATTCATCATAAGACGCCGACCATGGCTCAAAACTTCCCCGCACGTGTCAAATCACAATCCAGCTTTCAGGGACGCTGTGTACTGCCGTAATAGAGGCCCTGGACCTGGCATTCATCAATGATTCGCTTGTACCCTATTCACGACCGTAGCCGAACACCGGTCCCGAATCCCAACCACCAAAAAGTATTCCATCGCTGAAGCCCCTCCCAGTGGACTGCCCTGGGCGAGATCGAGTTCCGCCAACCGTTTCATGAAAGGGGAATGAAGTTATATCATCAAGACGAAGGTGCTCAGGTGTGCAGAGCCTTTTCGGGGGTTGGGATTTGACGTCTTTTTGAATTCAATGCCTCAAAGCAAGGCAATATGTTTTATCCTTGCCTCGACCAATGCAGCCAAATGAGAACCGCCCTCACTACCAACTCCAGCCCGAAGCCCTTTTTTTATATCGACGAAGGGTACAGCATGACACGAACGGAAGCACCGAAAGACTTGGTGGGAAGGGGAGAGGTGAACTTGGCGCGGACGACGCCGGAGTTTCCTGCAGAGATACGTTAGATGATTGTTCATGTCGTCGTTCAACGGGTCGAATATTATTTACCGTGTGGTCGGGTGACCTTGCCCCAGATCACGCGGATCTTGGTACCGCGGATCTCCTTCTGACCCCGGTAGACGAAAGCAACCTTCTTGCCGAGATAGAAGCTATCATGAATGTCAGTATCCAGACCGACTGGGAACATTCCTCTCATGTTGACGTACTTGGCGGCGTTGGTGTCATCAACACCCTCAATCTTGATCAGGCTGGTAGCAGGGCGGGTGGTGTGACGAGAGCGCTGGTAGCTCAGGTGACGTCCCCTAAACCATCATCGTCAGTCCAAAGTTCTATCGCTCGTTGTGTTCGTGCCCTGGCTTCGCGGAATATCGATGTCGAAAATTTGAAGAGTGCGCACTTGTCGAGGCAAGTACAGCTTTCTCATATCGCATGCGTACCAGGCTGGCTGACGGGAGGTGTTACTCACTTGACGTATACTATAGGCAAAGTTAGCTCAGATTCACCGATATTCAAATTTCCAAATTTGCGAGTCGAGCCGAGTTGGTGCGCTCGTCGCTTCTCTGGCGGACAGGATAAACTCACGTCGGTGACCGGCTTCTGAAGGCATCTTGACTGTGGTATGACTTCCGTCCTCTCAAACAACCTGCGGTTAGTAGATAGCTGATTGTTTGAACGAAAGACCTTCGCGTTGGTGAGGTGCGTGTTTGGTGATTGATCTGTGGAGTGGGGAAGATGCGCCAATCGCACTTTCCCTGGTCAACCCTAGAGTCACGTGCTGAGACAATCGCGGCGGACAACAGTGGCTGTTGTGGCTAGTGCACTCGTGATTTTGGTCTACTGGTCCTTTAGCTGTTAGGTTAAATCTGGGCTGATTCTGGATGATGAACATGAATCTGAAGCAATTGTATCTAGAGATCATTTTTGTCCTACAATACTTTAACCGGTGAAAGTGGTGCCAGTACTCTCATCACCATTCTTGTGTAGATTGGCCATATGAGCGTAGAGGTACCTAGTGGCAATGCTGGTCCAGCTTATACCTGGATATCAACCAACTTTTGAGGCTGTCTCAAACTCTCTCAATTGGCACGTTGACTGGAGAAACTCAACAACATTGACTGTCATGGCTGGGTAGAATAAATTTCAAGTACCATGTCATAAATTCCCTCAGGGCAGCTGACTACCTTGATTAACCGGACTCCTTCATCAGCAGTCGCATGGAATCTTCCTGGCATTCACCTTTTCCGCCCCAATGGTTTCTTGGTGAAGGTTTGGGGTTTAGTTGAAGCCGACACCGGGGAGAGAGGGGCCAGAGCAGGTGCTCGTGGATCCTGGCAGCGAAGTGGTTCGGAATTTGGTGTCCGAGCAAGGCAGGTCAAGATGAGCTCATCAAAGATATTGATTAAGCTCACCTTTTTGTACATGTGAGTTCTTTCTGATTTTATGCTAAGTGAAGAGGAGGAAGTAATGTCATTGGCATGTTAACGTCTTTACAATAACTACTTCTTGCGCTCCTAGGCTCTTGAACCATATTGTCTTTGGTCTATAATTTATTGTCAACACCTTATCTAAATGGCCGAGCATGCGATTGATCAACCCATTGACCCTTCACGGCGAGGAGTGCAAGAAAATAGATTCGGATTCTTGGCCGGCTATCTGATGATCGGAGTTTATCAACTAAATTGTTTCTCGGTGCTTGCTGACCTTGGAGTCAGTCGAGGTGATACATATCTGGGACCAGGGGTCTGCAGTGGACCTTGTCTGGCAAGTCGAAGCGCTCCATGTCACAGACTTCCATCACTAACAACTATGGAGAAGATCTTGAGACACCGCGGTTGCGCCGTAAGGCCGGATTCTGGTATGCGTGCTTGCCGCCGGATTACGAGATTCAGTTGGGGGTCTTTATCTGAGCGTCATCTTTTATTAGTGAGCGTTACTCATGTACACCAAGATTAGCAACATGAGAATGCTTGTTACGCTTTCCGGAATCGGCAGTGGCATCATGTAACGGACGACGCTCCGTGTGTGAAAGACGGGAACAACACCGACACCCCAATGTCTTGATAATCAGATTGTACTTAGGCTCGGTGGGCCTTGGTGTGTCCTTGTTGGGGGAGCGGCAGAATAGAATTGCGCTGGGCTGGGCAGCTCGCTGGTTAGGCAATCCAGGGACCGCCACCGCCGCCGAAGCCAGGACAGACAGGACTCGGTGAGGGATCGATGCCCGGGCAAGCCGGAGAAGCTGACAAAGAAGTCGGATTGTTTAGTTGGAGAAGCATCATGCTTCGTCATGCTCACGGCACAAACCAAACTGTGCAATGGACAAGTCTGTGTGTCCTATCAACGTTTGCCATTGAGTTGATGCGGGCCTGGTCATGAATCACAGAAGGACAAGTTAGGGGAGGGAAGAGCTGATACTTATGAATGTTGGTAACGTATTGTTGAGAGAAAAAAAACACGAAAGGTTGCTGGGTTGAAGCGTGTGGAAACACCACCATACGTCAAGTCCGCGACAGATCCAGTCAGACATTCAGTTGCGTAGCATGGCCCCGAAAGCACGAAAACGATTCGACCGCTTGCGTCTGAAGCAATTGGCCCGGGAAAGAAGAATGGAATCAGTGTCAGTTTAACAGGACCCCATAAGTGTAGATAGGTAGGTAAAATTTAGGCAAAATAGAAGTAAATAGATTGTGATGAGTCGGAGATAGAATCGCCGTTGGTACATCTGTGCTACGCAAGACGAACAGCCAGCTACAATACCAGTCAGGTACCTATGCGTCTGACTGATGCCCTCGCAATGACAACGCGTAACAGCAAACATTCATGACTATAACCAATTCATGGTTCATCATCATGGCTTCCTGATTACTGGATCCAGTCAAGACTTTGTTAGGTGATTACCTCCATGTCAAGTAACTTAGTGGACGGACCTACACTTTTTTATCCACCCACTCTTTTTTAGGGACTTTCACTTCTGGATTTTAGGGACCCGGACTGCATCATAGCCCCATCGCTCACGCAGGGATCCCACCTACCTATCGATGAAAGTGGATGGGTTTGGATTGTTACCTTAGCTCCCCAGCTGCTGTGCTCAGGTCTACGGCGGGCATTGGACGCTCTCGTCGTCATAAAACCTTCCTGGCCAGGCCCCAAAACCTCGTCACCTTTTCCGTTTCCATTTCCATTTTCCAGATCTCTCTCATACTTCCTCCACTCTCCCATTTGTCTTGTACAGCTCATCCTCATTCTCTTCTGTGTTGCCTCTCGTTCCCTAGTCCATATTCTTGAACCTCAACAATGGATCCGTAGGTGCTCCCTCACATCAACTTCCAAAACCCCCACCATGACTTTGCGCTCTCGCTGCAAGCTATCATGCTTGTGCTGAGCGGTTTGCGATGCGATCGCGTCTTCTCGCGCCTCAATCTCTGAACACCACACATAAAAGAATCCTCCTTACTGATATAATTTCTATTCTAGATGCATGGAGCTCAAGCAGAACACGACAATCGTCGTGCTCGGCGCTTCTGGTGATCTGGCGAAAAAGAAGACGGTGGGGAGCTCCCCCGATTGCCCCTCACATACCAATGTGCTTGTGCTAACATATTTGATTTTGCTGCGTGATAGTACCCTGCACTTTTCGGTCTTGTAAGTGACTTATCTCATCGACGAAGCGCCTTGCTCTCGACTAACGTGTCCTCAGTATCGAAACCAGTTCCTGCCCAAGGATGTCAAGATTGTCGGATATGCCCGCACCAAGATGGACCACGATGAATACATTCGACGCATCAAGTCATACATAAAGACACCCACAAAGGAGACTGAGCAGCAACTCGAGGAGTTCACCCAGCTCTGCACCTACGTCTCGGGTCAGTACGACAAGGATGAGTCTTTCCAGGGTCTGGAGCAGCACCTCCAGGAGGTTGAGCAAGGCCGCCCCGAGAACCACCGTCTTTTCTACATGGCGTTGCCCCCCAGTGTCTTCACCATTGTTTCACAGCACCTGAAGAAGATTTGCTACCCCAAGAACGGCGTTGCGCGTGTTATTGTGGGTGAAAATCCCCTCATCATGATAACGGTTGGCTAACAATCCCCGTAGGTCGAGAAGCCCTTCGGCAAGGACCTTGCCAGTTCTCGAGAGCTTCAAAAGTCGCTCGAGCCTGACTGGAATGAGCAAGAGCTGTTCCGAATTGACCACTACCTTGGCAAGGAGATGGTCAAGAACATTCTGATTCTTAGATTTGGCAACTCTTTCCTCGGCGCCACATGGAACCGACACCACATCGACAACGTTCAGATCACCTTCAAGGAGCCCTTCGGTACCGAGGGTCGCGGAGGCTACTTCGACGAGTTCGGTATCGTTCGCGATGTCATGCAGAACCATCTCCTCCAGGTCCTTACTCTCCTGGCTATGGAGCGCCCCATCTCATTCAACGCCGAGGACATCCGCGATGAGAAGGTTCGCGTTCTCCGTGCCATTCCAGCCATTGAGCCCAAGAACGTCATCATTGGTCAGTACGGCAAGTCTCTTGACGGTAGTAAGCCCGCCTACCGTGAGGACGACACTGTCCCCAAGGACTCGCGATGCCCTACTTTCTGTGCCCTTGTTGCTTACATCAAGAACGAGCGCTGGGATGGTGTGCCTTTCATTATGAAGGCCGGAAAGGCTCTCAATGAACAGAAGACCGAGATTCGAATCCAGTTCAAGGACGTCACATCGGGTATCTTTAAGGACATTCCCCGAAACGAGCTTGTTATGCGCATTCAGCCCAATGAGAGTGTCTATATCAAGATGAACTCCAAGTTGCCTGGTCTCAGCATGCAAACTGTTGTTACTGAGCTGGATCTCACCTATCGACGACGATTTTCCGACCTCAAGATCCCTGAGGCATATGAATCGCTTGTACTTGACTGCTTGAAGGGCGACCAGTCCAACTTTGTTCGCGACGATGAGCTTGACGCCAGCTGGCGCATCTTCACCCCTCTTCTCCACTACCTTGATGACAACAAGGAGATTATTCCCATGGAGTACCCTTACGGTATGTTTCTCTTGTGAGGCATGTTGAGTTTTACTTACATTGCTGATAGGCTCTCGTGGTCCTGCTGTTCTGGACGACTTCACCTCCTCCTACGGTTACAAGTTCAGCGACGCTGCTGGCTACCAGTGGCCAACAACCAATGCTGCTGCTCCTAACAAGTTGTAAGTTTAATAACTTGCATCCTGTAGGCTAGTCTGGGTGCGACGAAACAAAGAAACCGTTTGCTGATTCTTCTCGTAGCTAATAACGCCTCATCTACAATGAGAGTCACGACCGATTTCGGACTATGATATCCAAGCCTGACGAGGCAACAAAACACCAATGAATGATTTGCTCTATATAAAAAAACGATGGAAACTGTTGTCGTCACTTTTGCGACATAATGATGGGCACTTGCTTCTGGGAACTTTTTAGATTCGTTCACGTTGGGGGATTGGCTCATGGCTTATGAATCGCTCAATCAGATGAAGATTTCAATTTCAACCTTGAATTGATCACTCCCAGTTTGGATAGATATGAATGCATAGCCATGCTACCAAGAATCATTATGCCCTACCTTTACCAGTTCTTTAACAGGCTGTGGTTCTGGGCCGTGGACGCCACAGATGTCAAGAGGACAAAGGGTTGAAAGACACGGTAGGCTTGCATAAAGACATCATGGATATTACATAGGCGCGTTAATATCGACGTATGTCTCATAATCAAGGTATTTAAAGATAAAAAAAAAAAAAAAAAAAAACATACTATATGTGCTGAATAAACCAAGCTCAAACCCTACCTTACTATAGAAACGCTCTTTATTTCCCTCCTGATGATAGAAATTTAATGAATCTGTGCATAACAGGTTATGCAATTCATACTTTGCCCCCAAGTCTTTGTGCTGACTTGTGCCTGGCCTATCACATGACTGGGCGTGTCGAGCGCTCGGCCAAACGAAGCAGCAATCAAGACTCCTCCAAAAGTGAACAAACGATTCAGCCGACGAAACAACATCTCATACACAGACAATCCTTCACGCAAAAAAAAAATAGAATTTAGGGCGCCAAACTCTATCGCCTTATGTATGATTCGTGCGCGCACCTTCTCACATGACCTGGCAGGTCTTCATTCGTTACCCCAGCGCCTCTGAAGACTCCTCGCCATCCACCTCGCCCTGATATCAACAACTACAACCAACCACCTACTCCCTCCAGGATGAGCGATCCTGCCGGCGAAATAGTCCACATCACTCAGGGCTACATACCACTCTCTAAGGTTCTTACGCGACTCGCGCAATCGACACACAATGCGCTCCAAGATCAGATTGCCGCATTGGCAAAGATGCCTTTGCCTGCTGCCGCCATGAACGGAAACTCGACGGCACCGAACAGCGACGTTGAAGACGGATCTGGCGAAAATATCGCCAAGAAGACATCGATATTGAACTTTGCCATGAGGGAGCATCGAAAATGGGTTAAAGCGCTTGTCATTACAGAATGGAGTCGAAAGGCCGATATGGTTAGCAAGCTTATTGACCTGAGATTTCACCTTCAAGGGCAAGAGGTCTTGTTTTCCGGGGCCCTTGATGTTATGGGTCACGTCAAGAGGGATTTGACATTTGCGAGAATGCCAAGTCCTGACCTGAAAACAGCCCTTCAAGTATTGTCAACTGGAGAGGCAGCCTGGATGCCTGATGTAGGTTTTGCGCATCGCGAGACGATGGCGATCAAGCTGACTTTGCTACTAGCTCTCCTACATCGAACCGCCTCCCTTAACACGACAGGAACAGATTCAGTGGATCAGCGATCTCGACACTCAACTATCATTGCGACTTAACCTCGAAGATTTCGACAAGATCCCATATCACTTCAGAAACTATGAAATCGATTCCGGCCGAGTAACATTTAAAGTTGCGGGAGAATTCGAGGTCGATCTCACAATCGCAGACGAAGATTTCGAGAAGCAGTTTTGGTTCATCGACTTCCGGTTCGCTTTCGAGCCAGCAGCATCATCGATTCCTGACGGTCTAAAGAATTATCTAGAGGGGCAAGTGAACGATATCCTAAGCAAAGACGGACTCTTAGGCTGTTATCAATTCCTACACGAACTGGTCCTCACCCATAAGCTCAACGAGCTCAAGAGGCAAGCAAGTCAACTCAGCAGAGGCTCTTGGACGGGAACACTCAAGGTCGAGCCACTCAACCGAGCTTTGGCAATTCAATATTGGACTTCGCGCGCACAGCTTGGTAGCCCGAAGAGCTGGATATTGATCGCCGCCAACAGCGGCCGGAAACCAAATGGGCAACCTGACCCGAAGTCGTCAAGTCACTTGATAGCGAAATGGTATCGAGACAACAAGGAGGTGAAGGACGCGAATATCTCTTTCGATGCCGACAACTTATCAGCCGAGACCCTTCTAAAGACGGTTATCGGTCGTCATATTGAATTCCTTCTGGGCAGCATACATAGCAGATTGCAATCCTTCCCTCGTTTTCAAAATCGCGATGCTGTTATGATTTTGAACATTTCTCACGATGATCCCGCGACTTCATCTTTAAGTATGCAGGTCGGTTACAAAGACAGTGCATCCTTACTTGTCGAGCCAACAACCGGGGTTTTCGCTGTTAAGCCTCATTCGAAGTTCACTATTCAACATGAGCATTTATTAAATAACGGAAAGAATCCGGCGGATGATGGCGCGACATGCTTGGAGAATGTGAGATGTGGAGTTATGGAAGATGAACTTATTCGCCGCGGAAGCACGACAGGCTGGAATATTAAGAAGAGCCCCCTGAGTAAGGACGAGTTGCGATCTTTGACCAATACCCGCGAATGGACCAAAACTATTTGGCTCCACAGAACTGGCTGGGACCCAAACTGGTTTGTTATGGTCATGTTAAGTCCGAGCGGGGATGTTTGGTGGCTTGTTGACGTGTAAGTTGGATTAAGTATCAACAGTCGTGTTTGTAATGCACTAACATGTTTGATAGCAGCCGAAATGCAAATGGACAGTCCACTCGCTTGTCATCAAAGCTTCCTCTCAATAGGGGCTATCCTCACCTTGAAGATGAGTTCTGGAATAACCTGACCCTGTTCGCGACTGGCATGATTGCTCAGGCAGTGGACCAACACGAGCTTTATCGGCATAACATCAAGTTCCTACTGCAAGACACAAGAAACTGGTCTCTTCCTCAGCAGGTCCGACTTCCAACTCTCGAAATCTCTCTCTCAGATATCTTCCCATCTATGGTCTTTGACAGCGCAGAGAAGGATAATGCAAAGGCTGCAAATGAGTCCAGCGCTGGTACAGAGACTTCCAGGCTTGGACCAGTCGTGCCAACTGCTTCCACGTCGGGCATTTCAACTAGGCAACCGTGGGCGAACGACATTGTCTCAATCAGGTTCAAGGGGGTTGAGCCTGTAGACAAAGATGCCTCTGGTGCAGATGGCCCCATTTCGGATGTCTCTTTTATGTGTATTTCCGATGCTATCATCAAGGTTCGCAAACCTGCGAAATTCACCATGCTCAAGGGCCACATGGTTGGTCGCGATGTCTCTTGGAATGCGCGATCGGGCGAGTTTTGCTTACGAATGCGTTCAAAAATCGGACAATCTATCTTGGAGAACCTGAAGGCTCGGGTCAAAGCCGTGGATCGGTTCGTCAGCTTCTTCGAATCATTGGATAAGGCCAGAGGCTTTATCAAGGCCGAGTCAGTGAGCTTGAAGGAGGTGACTTTCTCTTATGGACCTCCAACATTACAGACGGTCGACAACACTGAGGCTTCGCGTCTCTGGAGAGTGGCACTGAATCTCTCCAACAATGATATTGACATTCAGGTGCAGGAGACTAATCCTCATCTTCCAGTCACTGATTTGATGCAAAAGCTCGTCAATGGTGCCAATGGTATTGGGGCTCTTATGGACTGGCTCCCCCTGTCCCTACCAACCATGGAAGCTTTCAAGAAGATCAGGGAGGCATGGTCAGATATCGAAGCCCGTCGTCAGGGGCGATTCAAGTTTATAATGAATTCAACGGATGAGATGTCATTTCAGTACATCCTCGCCGGAACTGGCCCTGGAAACCAACCGGTCCAGCACAGCATCACATTCCTCGGCCAGATCAAGCAGCGTCGAGGCGAACCATGGTGGCATATCGAGCGGAAGACTCGCTCCAGCGGCTGGCCTTCGCCAAACGATGACTTCTCTGCAGCACTCAAGCCCGTTTGGGATGGAAAGGGGGATGATTGGAGCGGTCTTGTCACTGGAGCAGCGGGCCGACCAGAGCATGGTATCATCGGTCTTCTTCTTGCTATCGACGAAGCTATCCGGCCACTGGCTGGCTCGACTTTCCAAAACAACTCGGAGGTGGTCGTCTTGGAGTAAAACAAGTGATCTGGACATATTACGACGAGCTTAATTTCCATCAACCATGGAGTTGGAGGGGCTTTTTTTATTATTATTATCATTAGACGAGCGGCGAAATGGGGGGTTTAAACAAAGCGGATGAGTGTGTTTTTGTGATAACTTAATGATACCTCTATGAACACGGAATACCACTATTTTTTTTTTTTTTTTTTTTTTTTAAGTTTGCAAGTTAGCCTCGAAAGGTATATCCAAGCATCTCCAGAGTCTAATATAGTTTAAACATTTATTGCCCCTACAGCCGGCAAAGCTTCATTAAGTCAAATCATCATAGTTAGCTGCCTCAATTGCAGCCTGAACCTAGCTGCACATATGCCAGCTGAAAAGCCTTACCTGCTCATCAGCTGGCCCCAACCTTCTTCCTACAACCCACCTGAAAGGTCTTTCATCGACCTCTGCTGCATACCACGCTTCAATCATCCATCACGCAGTAAGTCATCCGACCCGACCCGACTTTCCCTCTTCTGGCCGCAACCGCTAACAGCATCACAGCTGCCCCGTCACGATGCCTGCTATCCGAAGAAGCCTGCAGGCACCCAGGCCCGACGAGCCTTATCTGACTGAAGGCCATGATGTGATCCCTAAGATCGAAGAAGCTCTTGGGCGAAATAAGGGCAAGGGCGATATGCTGCGTATAATGGCCATGGATATCGGAGAGGCCTGGTTTAATAAGGATGATGCCAGCCGCGTCAGGATGGCGATCTTTGGTTGCGAGATCCTCCTGCTTATATGGTCTATCTATGAGAACCCTCTGATTAACAAAGACTTCCTTGAACGCGAGAAGCAGAAGCTCAAGGATCTAGAAAGGAAGCTATGCAGAGGGGTGCAGCCAAGCAGGAGGGAGAGGGGGTTCCTCAGGGCCCTTAACCTGGGCGGCTTGCATGACGAGTGGCTCAAGGATATCCGGTGGCAGGCCAAGGAGGTACTGGAGAAGACCGAGAACCTGTGACGCGATGTGGATGGAAGCGGGGTAATCGCGGGGTTTGGAGGAAAAATGTATTGAGTTTTGTGTGAGTTTAGTTGCCTGAAGTCAAAGACCTGAAGTCGTGAATTTGGCGTCGGCGGCGAAAAGAGGATCAAATGAGTCACGAGACAGATCACGTGACCAAATGAGCAAATCAGCTGTAACATCAGTGCACCATCAATATAAACAGGGGACGGAATACCACTATATTGATTACGGTCCAGACCAACAAAACCGCTGATTTTGACAAAATAGTAAATGATTTGACTTGCTATTGTATCTCACTGCAAGAAGTAACCTATATCTTTCTATCGCCCCTCAAGTAATAATACAGCTTTTTTGTCCCAATAGGGCTTTCAAACCTCCGTTCTAAAACACCTCTTGTCTTGTCCCATTACTAAAGTATATACATGCACTGTTCCCCGCTACTTAAAATGTCGTACAGGGATCTCTGAAGTCGCCACGACAGCAAATTGCTGGATGTCGTTAAGATACTCCAGACCCGTAGCTTCAAGGCCCTTCTTCGCCGCGGCGGCAGCATCATAGCCAGCGCGCAGGCTGGCAACAGCACCAATGCGAGTGAACGAACCACCGGCGACAGCAAGACGTCCACCAAAGTTCTGTGTTAACTCGGTGTGCGCAGCGCGCAGGCGATCCTGGTGGCCAACGTAGTGCTGAGGGATGCATTCTCTGGCAAAATTGGCTGTGGCATAAGCTGGAGCATCGCACGGGATGCCGAGATGACGCTCGAGCAGATTTCGAGCTTGGACAATGGCCTCTTCCTCAGTGGGGGGAGTGACATCAGGACGATCGTAATAGTGGCCGCCCATGAGAACGAAGAGTTTGGTACCAGCAGGTTCATCCTTGGAGCGAGTCTGAACGTCAGAATCAAAGAAGACACCGAGAGCATGCTCAGGGTTGAGCTCAGGGGCCACGGAGTTAGGGATGAGATAACCAAAACCAGGAGGCTTAAGATTTTCCTGAGGGAACCAGATGTTGACAGTCATGACGGATACGGAGTGTGCTGTTGAGAGTGAGGGGAGTTTGTCTCCTGCGAGGCGGGCAATATCCTGTGCAGATAGTGTTGAGATGACCTTGTCGTATATGTTGGAGTTGTGCTTGGACTTGTTCTTGGCGTTGGAACTGATAATCTGTCATACACTGTCAGTGACATCGACCAGACCATATGGGGAAGATATCTTACATGAACTTGCTGGTTAGCTTTATTATAGACGACATCTTGCACGGCCTCGCCAGTTTCTATAGTGACATTCGGTTGCTCCCGTAGTGCAGCAGATAGAGCTTGCGGTAGCGACTCCATGCCCTTGTCGCCAAAGTCTACCAGCACACTCCTTGGCTCCAGGGCCATCTTCTGAATCTGCTTATCCTGACCCAGAGTGTCGAGGAGAGCCTGCTCAGCCACAGGCATGGGGCGCGCTGACAAGCCGGGATTTGGCAGATACCAGCCCCAGTAAACGCGGTCTAAAACACAGCGAGCACTCAGCTTGTCGATATCACCGCCATAGATACCATGCATCATGGCTGAAGCCAAGGTACCTGCGCCCTTTCGGCTGTTGCTCACGGCGTAGAGCCATTCAGATACGGAGTAGTCCTTGGAAGGGAGCTGTCTCTTGCGCATAGAGTTGATACCCAGTCCAAGACTGGCACCGATGCTCTCAAGGTAGAGCGGCTCACGGAAGATATCGAAGATGCTTACATTGGGGGGCATGGGAACGAGATGGTCTGGGTAGTAGATATATCGTGGCTTGGGACTAGGCGAGTTGATAACGAGTCCAAGATCCAGAGCCTAGAGTATGGCATGTTAACGGGGAGCTCTCTTAGTACTGCAACAAATCTTCTCACCAGATCGTAGAGAACGAGGTCATCGAAGCGAAATGTGTTGCCAACTAGAGATGACAACGATCGAGCACCGCGCTCAAAAGACACAGTACCACTCTTCCCCTCAATATCGACCGGTACCCTATCTGTCTTGATCCATCCTCCTAATCTATCGCTCGATTCGTATAATGTAATCTTGGCCGTCGAGGGGAGCTTCTTTGCGAGGTAGTATGCCGCCGTGAGACCCGTCAATCCGCCTCCCAAGACTGCAATATTCGCGTCCTTCGCCTGTGAGACAAATGTCCGTCCGTTGTTGAAAGCCTGTGTGTAATTGCACGCGACAACGGGTCGTCGCCAAGTCAGTGCCGAGCTTGTGCTGAGGCTGCGGAAGCCATTAAGACGTCGGAGGGGCAGCTGGAGGTGAGATTTCGCTGGTGAGCTCAGGAGAGCTACAGCCGTAGATTCTGCTCGACGGCGACTCATTGCTAGAGATCAATTGATCATGGCCGAGGTGCTGAGTATGTATGAATATATGTTACGAGAAAGAGGAAGATCGAAAGATGGTGGAGTGTTCACCTAAGGGTCCCTCGCCATGAGCCGGCATTCTTCCGTGTGCGTCATCAACACCGCGGAGAAAGGACTACCATGCCATGACTTTATTGCAAGGTTAGTGGGTAGATACTAGATATTTGATGATTCCTAGGCAGTCTTGTTTAGCGAATCATGAGAATACAATATCACAAATAGTTGGGAACAATCATTGTAGCCATGAAACCCATCGTTTTCATTCTCCCCATCGTGCATACCGCTTTGAAGCATCATGATGCGCAATCTGCCGGCCTTTTTTTGCTTCTTGGCCTCTATGTATATATAATACTAAACAAGATGGTTTGGGCTGCTTCAAAAATACAACCAAAGAATACCAAACCCCCAAACGCCCTTCCATGCTCTGCCACCTCGGCCATAGACATTACAAAGCTACCGTAAAAGTACATGTCCTTCGTTCACAGCTTTTCTGTTCATCAAGGCCGCATATTGCCGTCCCTCAGCTTCTAGGGACTTTGACCATGGGTATCGTGATCTTTTTTTCGATCAATCTATCTCCCTGTTTCCTCCTCTCTTCGTTTTCATTCAACCAATGACATCAGTCTCCTGCTTGACATCAGTCTCCTCTCCCTTGACAAGCTCTTCAGGAGCTTGGTCATCCACAAACTTTCTCTCGCTTGGGTGCTCTGTGCCTTCACCGGCAGTCCAGACCTTATCCTTAAAGCCACCTTGCTGGCCTTCCTCATGTGCGAAAGCGCAGTTCGGGTTGAGACAAGGGTTGAACCTGCACTTTATCTTGACGTGAGTGAATTTGCAGTCGGCGTTCGTGCAACCAGCGCCGTTGCGACAGAGGGGCATTGAAGGGTGTTTGAACGGGCACTGCGGATTTTGGCAGTTGGGGAAGAACTTGCAGTCCTGTTCGCTCTGGTGGGCCAGACGAGCCGCTGGTGAAGGATGTCGCGCAACGCATTTTCGGTTCTTGCATGCAGCTCCGAAGCTGCAGTTATCGTTTACATCGACCGATGTTCCAGGGGGAGCGGCGGGTGACTGGTGAGCAAACTTGCAGTCCTTGTTGGTGCATCTCAAGTTGTACTTGCAAACCGCCTCGTCCGGGTTCAGTTGCTCGCGCTTCTCGCCGGACATGTCGACATCCTCGCCCTCGCCCTCAACACCAGCGTTATTACCGCTTTGTCGATCGTTGAAACCCTTGCGGTAGTTGCCTCTGCCGGGATGTTGCGTACGATCGAATAGAGACTTTCCTCCACGGCGTTGCTGTCCATATCCACCCTGGAATCCGCCATTGGTCATCATTTGTTGCATCTGGAGCATCATCTGGCTTTGTTGTTCCAGGATAGCGGCAAACTCGGCTGAGTTCGGTTGGCCACCTTGCATCATCCACTGCGCCTGAGGACCACCAGCAGCCATGCTGGCGAGACCAGCCTGGAGGTTAGCAGTGCGGTTGTTATGTCGTCCCATTCCACCTCGGCCTGTTCTAGGTCCAGTTGGTGGTGTACGGCCATGGGTGTTGATACGTTCGCTTCCTGTCTGGCCTCTAACGCGGTGAAGTGCAGAATCGCCAGCTCGGTCCATGGCCTTGTTCATCTGTCCAAACATGCGCTTATCACGTCCTCCGCGCTGGTTGCCGTTTCGCATTGAGCGTGGGCCGGTAGGTCTTGCAGAAGTTAGTGATTTGATAATACGTGATAGGATGGGGTTGGCATACGCATTCAGTTCTGACACATCTCCAGCATTCATGTCGGTATCCACATCGCCTTCTGTTGTAGCATCTTGGTCTGCACCAGGCGCTGCGCTGCCCCCGCCATTAATTTGAGCATTTAGAGCCTCGATCTGTTCAAAGAGCCACTGAGAGAAATTGCGAGTGCTGGGATCGTCCGAGCCAAGGCCAAGTAGATCTCCCGAGAGTTCGGCAGCAATTTCGTCCTGAGACTTTCCGTTCACAAGCATGAGTATAATATACTCTGCTAGGGCGGAGTCATCAGCACTGCCAGTTCCCCATCCGACCTCGACGAGTTTAGGCTGGATGGCGGCATTAAGAGCCTCAGCCAGGGGCGTGTTGAGGCTTACTTCGACGGGCATGATGAGTGAGTGCGCAGTCGTAGTCGGGGGAGTGAGTAGTTTGTGTGGTGGGATTGAGGTGAGTTTTGGTGGCGGAAGAATTCGCCGTGAAGTAGGATCGGAGGCGAAGCTTTCAGTCAAGGACGCGTTTCTTGGAATAGAGTGAAAAAAAAAAAAAAAAATCGCGTCGCGTGAGCAAGATACTGGTCGCAATGTAGCAAAGAGCGCAGACGTCGAGTCGCTAGATGGGGGGTGATCTGGTGATGTTGCGACGTCGCACGAATCAGCAATGGAGCGAGGGTTTAGTTGGTTGAAGATAGAGATGAAGTTGGCAAAGGTCTGCTTAAGGAACGCAGAAGTCGTCAAGAATGGGTCCGGGTCATTGTGGTCACGTGATGTGGTCGATCAGTCATTGTTCTTTTGGTTCATGCAAGTGCGACTTTGTTCGGTTTGTAATAAAGTTAGCACAGGTGAAAGTATTCCACCTATTCTTCATTCACTGACGTGCAGTGGCAGTGAACAGT